CAGTCATTAAGTTATGAGGGGTTTAAAGTATGAAATGGTATTAAATACATGTAAAGCACTTGTGATGGTGCCGAGCACATGGTGAGGGTCTGAGGGCCTTTGTGTGGTCATGGCTTCTATGTCTGACCTTCTATAGTCAGCTTCTATAGTCAGCTCTCAGCACACTGTAAGCAGAAATTGAGTATAAGAATCATAGGCAAAGAAACCTGTATAGTGCTTAGCACAAGAAAGACCTGGCACATGGTAAATGTTCCATCAATGTAGTTATTATTATTGTGATCTGAGAATGCTCTTGTGCCCTGCAAGGAATGTCCCAGGGGAAGGCTTCAGACAGAGGTGTCCTCAGGGGCTGTCCATTCCCTTTGTCTGCACCAGGAGTCCCTGAGAGGGAGCCTTACTGTTCACCAGGGCTGACATCCCAGCACCCGCCCTTAGTTCCTTGACTCTGAGAAAATGCAAAGAGCCCTGAAACCTGGGTGGCCCCACCCTAAGAAAACTCACACCGCAAAATCCAAAAATTAAGGGGAAGAGGAAGAAGAAGGAGGAGGAGGAGGAGGAGAGGAGAAAAAGAAGAAATATATTTATAGTGTGTGCAACAGAAGCTGTACCAGAAGGTGCTATTGTTTTATGTATCAATCAACCAATCAATCCACCATTCGCTTTGGTTTCATGGGTCACTAACCATGATTCGCCTGGCCCCATTAAAACAAAATCCATCCCACTTAAAAGAACGAAGAAGAATGATGAAGTGAGAACACAGGCCTCTGGAATGCCTGAAGAGTGGGTGGACCTAGGACGGACCATCAGTGGCTCTTGGACAGCACAAGAGAACCCGGCAGATGTAAACCTCCTGATAGAGGAACACAGACGCACGTGTAAATATTGGCCAAAAACCAAACAAACAGAACTCAAACCCCAAACCTACATGAGATCAGTTCGCAAGATTTGTCTAATTTGTAGAGACTATCAAGAATCAAGGGCTGGGCTTGGTGGTGTACACCTGTGATCCCAGTGACTCAGGAGGCTAGGGCAGGAGGATTGCAAGCTTGAGACCAACTTTGGCAACTTAGTGAGACCCTGTTTCAAAGCGAAACATTAAAAAAGGGCTTGGGGATTGGCTAAGTGGTTAAGTGACCCTGGGCTCAATCCCCAGCACAACCAAAGAAAAAGACGAGACGTAAAGACTCATTGATCAACTGTAATGTGTGGCCTTATCTGGATTCTGGATAAAACAAAATGGAAAAAAGCGGATTCATATTTCTGAGATGATTAGAAATTTGTGGTTATTAAGGAATCATTGGATGGTTTAGTGGTAAAGCTAAAAAAAAAAAGGAGTTCTTTTCTTTCGAACTTAGAAACATTGAAATATTTATGAATGAACTGATCTGCTTTCTGTTTATAGGTTTAAAAATCAGATAGAAGGAGGAATACAGATAAAGCAGTGGCCCAGCCAGGTTGGGAGGGCTGGGTGACACATACATGGGATTTACTGTACTATTCTAATCTATTACCATTCTACTCAAACCCTCTGCAGAAAAAGTTCACGGGGAAAGGTGGTTCATAAAATTCAGTTTGCCCAAGTGAATGTGAAAGGACTCTGCCTTCTGCAGTCCCCAGAGTCAGAGGGCTGGCTCCCAGTTCTGGCCTGAGTCTTTTCTCTGGAAAAAGGGATGAGCCTTATCTCTTGGGACAAGAAATGAACTTCCTGAGGGCAGAAGCCCTGAACTCAGTAACTGGCAATATTGAAAACTGGAAAATATCTGTACTGGGATAAGTAAAATTCTCTGATAAGTAAGACAATCTTAGAACGCAGGTTGGTTAAGAGATAGCTATCCCTGTTTCAAATATATTGATGGAAAATATAGCAGCTGGGCACGGTGGCGTATGCCTGTAATCCCAGCATCCTGGGAGACTGAGATGGGAGGATTGAGGGTTCAAAGCCAGCCTCAGCAAAAGTGAGACACTAAGCAACTCAGTGAGACCCTGTCTCTAGATACAATACAACATAGGGCTGGAGATGTGGCTCAGTGGTTGCATGCCCCTGTGTTCAATCCCTGTTACTAACCCCCCCAAAAGAAAGAAAATATAGCAAAAAATGAGTTTTTAAAAAAACATAACTTACAAAAGTTGGCAACTGTGTATGATTCCACCTAATCACGCATTACCCAGGTGAGGTGGGCTAGCCCATAAGAAGTTTAGGAGCTACTTACTAACATCTGGTAGCTGCACTGGTGGAAATCTGACTGGTGCCAGACCCTGAGGGATTGTAAGCAACACAGAACAAGCTGGTTCCTGGATTTTCACCTGCCCACCCTCCTCCTCCCACCTTCGTGACGTAATCAATGACATATTTCAGAGAATGCCATCCATTCACTGAAAATTTATGACGCCACGTGGATTTTCCTCTGTAGACCAGGGCTCCCCAAGTGGCCTTGCCAATCACGACGGCAGGGCAGCCTCCCTAGTCTGCACCTCCCTTGGACAAAAGCCCATGGGAAGAAGGCTTGTCAGGGGCCCCTGGGGCCACCCGGCCATGCAACTGGACATATACACTTTGTAAGCACTGGTTTCCAACAGATAAATGTAATCAAGGTTTATATGCTCAGAGAAGCCAACAGGATGGGATTGTTTCACTTGAAAGATCAGAAGAAAATTGTAACTAATGTTGTGGAAAATTACTTTGATATTGCTTTCTTGGTACCGAATCACAATTAGGCTGCTGTGAGAAGTACAGGGAAAGAATAAATGAATAGTAACAAATCAACACAAACAGCTTGTGTCAGGAGCACTTTGCTCGGGGAAAGTAACGTAAGCATTACTTAAAGTTTTATGACTGTGTTTGGTGTGATTTACCTAGAACGTCAAAGTTACCCATCACGTGGCCCTTGGTGAGAGTGGTCCACCTGCATTTACCAACAGAAGAACATGGCTCAGGACCCAAGCGTGTTCTTTGCCTGACTCTGCCGACTGCAGGGGATGCTCATCTCAGCTTCACGCCATCCTACATGTCCTGCCTGCCTGGGGCTCCAAGCTCCTCTCTGAGCATGCTGCCCTGTGGGCCCTCACCCACCTGTAATCCACACATCTGTGTACTTGCACAGCTGTTCAGGGCACATGGGCAACTGTCACGAGGGACAAGAATCCACTGCCTATAGAAGCAAGTGCTCTGCTTTGCCAGCTGTCTGCACCACGGTAGGGCAAATGTTGGGGCCATCAAGGCACAAAACAAATGGGAATATACCACCTGTCCCAGAAGTGGACCGCTGATCCATGCCCCTGTCCCAGGGGAATGCCACAGATAACATTCAGCCATTCTCTTCCTGGCTCCTCCCACAGAATGCAGGACATTGGGCATCTGGAACCTCTGCCCATGTGTGCATCCCCAAACACGCACACCAGGGCATGCACCAAGGATGCACGGCACCCTTTATCCCAAGCAGTATTCAAGTGCCCTTCCCCCCTCACCAGTTTGCTTTGGCACAGATAATACAAAAACCATGGGACCAACTCAGTCTGCCCTGATGGCTCCATCCTATGGTGCACTGCTTCACCGACAGAGTCATCCACTATTATAGGGCTCCTGAGAGGCTGCAAAGTCCCCAGAGGAGCCAGATTGGTCAGGCACACTTACTTCCTCACAAGACAGGGAGCAGACAGACAGACTTGAGACAGCCTCCGGCTAAGGGGGTAGTGCCRGTGCACTGTGGCCCTTGGCTGTCTCCTGCCTCTCATTCTTTCTCGTGCGGGAAGGTGCTGCTCATTGTGCCTGGTTCACTCTGTCAGCAGCTTCTGGGCCTGAGTGGGCTCTGGCCTCCTTCCTGGTGCCCACGGCCTTCAATCTGTTCGTAGAAGTGCAACAATGGGGACATGCACAGAGGAAGGGGTGCAGTTCTGCTCAGAGGGCCTGAGTCTAGAGAGCAGATGGTGAAACGGCAGAGGTGGCCTGGAGACAGGGTACCCCAGCTCTCGYCAAGAACAGGCGATCCTAGGCCAAGCACCCCCATCCCATGCTACAGGTCGCAGGCAGGGGGTGGCACAGAAAACCTAAACCTCTGGCTTCCACAATTCTTCCATCCTGTCCCTGGTTCAGAGCCCTGATCAAGTGGGGGTACATGCACAGGTCTCCTGGAAGGAGGGTTATCTGGGGGTGCATCAGTGTGCCCATGTCATGGAGCATGTGAACTGGGAGTTGGGTTCTTCACGGACCCTCTTCTAACAGAAGCTGCTGCTGAGACACGCTGATGCTGATGCCTGGAGCCCTGTCTTCCTCTCACTCCAAAGCAGAGCTGCCTCCGGCCTTGGTCCTATGCCCGTGACCTGCAGTCCTGCCATGTGCAGCGGTGGGGGGACCTTGCAGAGCTCTGACTCCACATTTGGTCACCTTGAGATGCCAGAACCACCCTCATGCTCTCACCATGCCACCTGTCCCTAGAAGACCTCAGGAAGGGTGCCTCAGGAAGGGCACCATCCTTCTCAGTGGGTCACAAGGCCCAGCAGGGATAGGAGGCAGGCAGCATGGGTGGGTTCTGGCCTCACAAAGCCAGGTGTTCTGCAAGCCACAGGGGCCAGATTCACAGGATCTACAGGGAAAGTGACTAGTGTCACTTGGGCAGTATGGAYGGGTTCAAGGAGATGTTTTTCAACCTCCAATGTCCTAGATAATATGGAAGAGGCCCCAAGAGGTGGCAGAATCATCCTTAAATCCGAGTTTCACCAAAGGCAACACCTGGYTGAACAGAGGGGTACCTCACCATCATCCCCAAGAGCGGACACCTTGTTGCTATGGATGCCAGAGGCCAGAGCCCTGAGGTTGGTGACTGGGCCTCAGACAGAGTGTTCCCATATTGACACAGATGCCCACTAGAGGGAGGACAGGACCCCTCCTCTGCCTGCTGGGACTCTCGTCCCCCAACCCAGCACAGCAGGGCAGCCACGGAGGCCTGCACCCCGGGTGGGAAAGCAGGAGGCCAGTGACAGTGGGAACAGATGCAAGGGCTCACCTGGCACCTGCTGGGGGGCGAGCTCCGTGGGGTCCTGCAGGCTGATAAAGAGCAGGAGGCCTGCAGCTCCGAACAGCAGGATGGATGAGAACATGCAGGCCAGCCGCATGGTGCCAGGTCGCAGGGTCATCCAGGGCACACTCAGGGCTCACCTCTTGGGTGTGGGAGGCACTTTCTTCCCTCATCGTCCAAATCCGGCATCCATCAGGCTGAGGTCTACAGGGCAGAGGGGGAGAAAGAATCACCTCTGAGTTGCAGGATATTGAGGTCCTGGTCACTGCAGTAACCCCGTGTAATCAGATCCCCCGCTCGACCCCAGGAACGGAGGTGTGCCCCTTGCATCTGTTCAAGCTGACGGAGGCTGAAGAAAGTTCTATTGCCACGTGTAGTCAGGACATTGGCTCCTATCAGGGTCTCCTGTACTCTCAGCAAGCATATGGAGCATATGGAGAGAGACATTCTCCCACTGAAGCCTGGGAATTCAGAGGGGAGCCTGCAGACCCACAGCTGAGGACCAGTGGACACCCTCTGGCACTGTCCAAAACTTCCTTGAGCCTCGCAATGAGTATGTGTGCTCCCCTGCAGGGGTCTAGGTACAGGCAGGAATATGGGGCCTTATCCCTGGCAACTGGTCCARTGCATAGATCTGCTATACTCTGGCCCCTCTCTACAGGAGGTTGGGACATGGGTCTCATGAAGCAGGAGGCTCCAGAGCCAGGGGATGCTCAGACATAGATCAATTCCCCCACATCAGGCAGAGCTGTCCTCACAGCTGACAGACAGACAMATGGCCTGGCAGGATCCAGGCCCTGCTGGATAGTCACACCAGCAGGAGCTGAAGCTCTGGCCAGTCCTTGGTTGTCTCAACACTCAAGGAAACTGGCGTGGAGCTGAGGTCGGGCAGTCAGATCTACCACCTTCAGATCCCAGACTTAGGATCAGAGACTGGGTGTAACGGCTCTTCTCTTCCTGCCTGCTTCTYTGGCCCCTGATGACTCAAATCAGGTTCATGTCACTTGCCCCTCACTCTGGTTTTTCCTAAAAAGCAGAAGAAATGCCCAATATCCCACATATCAATCTGTGATCCCCAGCTGGGTCAGGCTATGGGTCAAGATAGAAGCACCCTAAGGCCATTTGCCCAAAGGAGGGGTGGGCATGGTGCAGTGGGATGCGCTGAGGAACAGGTGTACAGATGGCCGGGCTAGACAGGAGGCAGGTGTCCTGGGCACCTCCCCTTAGAAAGACCCTATGTCCCCTTACCTTCATCCAGTTCTACTGGCCTGAGCCTAGGGATTCCACCTGCCTTCCACCCAAAGAGTCTGCAGGGGATCTTCCCCATCTTAGCACAGGGCAGTGCCCACGGGAAGCTGAGGCACATGGGCAGCACCCAGCAGCCTCCAGGAACACAGTTAGGTAGCTGGTCTGGCCCCAAACCAGATGAGCTCCTCGACCAGGGAGGTTTCCCTACCCAGGCCCTGAGATGGGGGAAGCAGCCCCCACCACCGTCTGTGTGTCCAGCCTCTGGAGGGTGAGGCAGAAAGTGTTAGAAGGAGGCCCTCCCTTTTCCCCTGCCCCCCAAAAAAACGCTCCCAAGGACGAGAATGCTTCTCAGGAAAGTTCAGTGGCTGAGGAGTATAGACTGCAGGTTTGGGTTTCCTCCCTCTGCAGTCTCTGTAATTATTTTTTCACTCAGTTAACTTTAATTAACCTGCCTTAGGCCTCTACGCGCCTGGCGCAGGGCTCCCTGGACTGTGCCGAGCAGGTGCTTCCCATGATCTCCCAGCTTTTATGTTGCACTGAGCTGGGCTCCTTTTGTCTCCGGAGCTGGCTCTGGAGTTCCGTGCAGGCCCTGACCTCAGTGGGGAAAAATAAAGGACTGCCACTTCCTGCCATCAACCAAGGCCCACCGGGCCCTGCTTGCAGTGGGTAAAAATGGAGAGCCATATGTCCCCAAAAGTTCAGACCCAGAAACTCCTCTCCTCCTCCATGATGGCCCTGGATGGAACCCTACCGGGGGTCTGACTCATCATCCTGCAGAGACACAGGCGCACAGTGCAGGTCTCTGATGTCACTGAAAGACAAGGCCATTCCACGCAGCCCCCTGCCAGCCTCCAGCTCCTGGAGGAACATGGGCGACTAAGGCAGAGGTGGGTCTCCTCTCCCTCCCTGGCTCTGCCTGCCACAAGCAGTTGGCTGAGCCCCTCAGGATGCCCAGGCAACCCTGGAAAGGAGATAGAAGGGTAGAAATGACGTTTCACACTGATGCAGTGGAGGGCAGATCCTCAGGCAGGGAACAGGAAAGGCAGTGCAAGGCCTCTCTGGACTTATTTATATACGCACCCAGCCCTGGGCATGAGCAGGCACATGCACACTAACACGTATACACACACGCCTTGGTGTGTGCAGGCAAGTGCCTGAACATGTGCATAGACACACACACACCATCCATGGTCCCCAGCAAGGCCCCAGCTGGCCATAGTGTTGACAATCTTTGTGCAGCCACGTTGGCCTCCTGAGCCAGACAGCAGGCAGCCAATTTGATTGAGAATGGGTAACCGTGGACATCAAGACCTTTTGTAAGGAAGGAGAGAGGGATGGAGACAGGAAGGACAGAAGAAATGATAAATGATAGCTAGCATACTGAGCTGCCTGGAAAAATAGCTAATAACGTGACCCCCAATATCTGCCCCAAGACTCCATATGATGAACAAAGGGGTCTCAGAAGCATGTGTGATCGTCATCGTGTTTGTTTAATAGCTGGTGCTACAGATGTGGCTACAGGAAGCTGGTCGGCCCTCCCCTCCCCAATCTTCGGTCACGCTGTCACCATTTGAGCTGATACAGACTTCCCCTGTCAATRACTAATGGGTCCCTACAGCTGTGACCTATCTTAGCTTTCTGAACCTTGCTCACATCAAACCCACCACACGGAGCCAGGCTCCAGCCACCCACATGCCTGGTAGCCAGGACAAGGATCGCATCCCTGCCCCCAGATCTGGTGAGGAAGAGAACACTGTACCCTGCCCCGCCCCTTCGCTGCAACAGGAGAATCAACTGTGCACCTCTGTCACTTCCGAGAACCTCCAGAGAACACAAGCACCTTGGCCACAGTCAGGAAGCTGGGGTTAGAGCACCCTGTGGCTTCTCTGTCCAAGCCCCTAAGCCCCAGACCCCAGTCTTTCCCTTGGGAACCCTCTTCTCTATGTCTGCTCTCACTGGGGACCACGTGACCAGCTCACTCCTCAAAAGATCAGCCGGCCTCTCCGGGATAACCAGCTTGCAAGCCTGGCTGGGTCTGTCATGCCTTGGGAGGGGGCAAAAATTCYAGAATCTGCAGAAGACTCCCTGTCCCAAAGGTGAGGAGTGGATGGAAAGTCCCTGACAGGCCAGAGACTCCCACTGCAGGTGCCTGGGCCTCACCCCCCATTGTTCCCTTGAGGGTTCTTTTCTACAAAGTCACAAGATATTTTCAAGACAATGGGGAGATGCCAGTTCAAAGCCATTTTCTCCACCTCTTTCAATCAAGCGATGGCCTGGGGTTAGATGCTGTAATCTGTCCCAGCGCCCTATCAGGACTCAGCTCCCACCTGGGACTGTCCCATCCTCACCACACATGACATCATATCAGCTCCAGTGACAAGTGCAATCCCCCCTCACCTCCCTTCATCCTTTCTGAGACTGAAAAACAATAAGAAAATTCAAATGATTAGGTGTGGAGAAGGAGGAGGCTTAAGGCAGGGAAAACGCACAGTCCTTTTGAGTTTCCGGAGCTACTTGCCCTTCTCAAAATTCCTAGTCCTCCCAGCAGCTTCTCTCCCCAAGGCCTGGGTGGCATCGCCAATTTTTACTTTAAGAAGGAAAAAAAGATCCAATTAATCTTGTAAACACCTCCTGGGACACAGGGCAGGGCCAATGATTCCTCCCATTTCCTTATTTATCTGATTTAAATTTTTGTCATTTTGAAGACACTGACTTCAGGGCACAAGCAAGGACTTGGGAATCGGGCCAAAATACACGCACCTCCAGTGGCGACAGCCGGACGCTCGGACGGCTCCAAGGACACGCTTGGCTGCAGCTGCTCCAAGGCCTGGACACTGGCCACCATCACCCTGAGGACCCTCTGGCTAGGGGAAGCCACCCCAGCATCCCGATCCAGACAGCCTGGGTGCACCCACGTGGTCAGTGGGCCCCAGGCCCAGGAAAGTTCTCTGTCCGTCTTTCTCGTCACACGGGCAGGAGCGAACAATGACGTCCCTCCCGGCTGAGGGCTCCAGGAGAAGCTGCTCGTTGGGAGAGAGGCTGCTATGGCAACTTGAGGAGAATGGAGCCAGGCACTGCCGTCACCTTGAATCCGGCACCGTGCCTTCTGCCGCGGCAGCCTAGGGGACCTGGTGCCCAGCTCTTCCCCTCCCTGGCCGGAGCCGGGCATGGGCAGCTGACCCCTGGCTTCCCTCCTCAGCCTCCTGGCCTCAGAAACTCATCTGCTCCTCGCTGATCGGAGTACACAGCCCGGTCCCCCGAGAGTACCACCTCCATCTGTTTTGTCAGACTAGTTCTTCCATGTGTGCGGCTCCAGCTTACTTCTGAGATGGGGCTCTTCTTGATTTCAGCTCATTAAAATCCTGCAGCTAATTAAAACCGCTCTAACGGCGGCGGCAGCAGCCGCAAACTCTGGGACAAGTCCCTCCAGTTTTTATGCGTAGGCATAAAGTTGCGATGCTCTCCCAGGATGACGGATGGCTGCAAGCGCTAGGATTCCGAGGCGGGGCTGCAGACTCAGAATTGCTCCTGCCCCGCCCGCCACTCGCTGGGTCTGGGGGACKCTGGCCTGGGTCCTGAAATCCTCAGGGTCCAGCCATGCACACCTGGGCCTGTCCAGCTGCACCCAGTCCTGGGGGAACAGTAATTCACCTGCCATCCACTCTACTACCACAGCACAGGATCCCCTTCAATTCCTAAAGATTTCTGTGGGGCAGAACAAGGGGATCCTAGGGTATAAATCAGGCTCAAATACCCTCCAAACCTTGCTCTGGGACCCCYAATCCCCTGCCACCAAGGAACACCKYAGCCCAGCCTCCCACTATCACGTACACAAAGAAGAGCTACGTGAAGGCTAAGGATGAAAATGTG